TATTGATTTGATGACTAATTGATGAGTGGGTGACCAACTCTTAACTTGGTGACAATCTTTATCTTCTCTTAACTGCTCAAAACGTCATTGATAACATCAGAATTGGAACTACTTGAAGACATGAAAGTTCTAGAAAATTGTCTCAGCTTTCTAGGAAAAAAAATAAAAGACATTTGGACTTCTACAACTCTAGATATGGACTAAACACTAAACAGTGTACGGGTTGCAGGACAGATTCAAACTTCTTCGTTGTTGCTACAATTGGACTTGAAAATAGCCTTTTAAAATCTTGGGCTCTAATGAAAGTTGTAGGCCTATATCTTACCTTTTCATTCATATAAAATAGACCTAAATCCGAGATCTACAACTCCAGATATGATCCAATTACCTAACAGTGTTCTGGTTTGGACTGCACCAGCATCTATTTTCTAAGTTTGACCATCTCTTTGTCCTTTCAATTTCAGTTCTTAAACTCATCAATCAATCCTTTCATTTATGTGATAGGCCTGTATTTAAAATGAACATTTACCATAAATTAAAGGTATCTTGTATTATTAGATATGTTATTATAAAACATGTTTTAGTTAAGGAGTTATTATAAAATTTTGATAAAAATACACTTTTAAGTATTAATCAAATACCTGATAATATTTACAAGTATTAACATTATTTGAATAACATAACTAGTATACTCAAGTTAATAATTTATAATCTGATTGAAACCTCCTCTATGTGTGGTTTCCATTTTAGTAATAAAAGTTTATACTATAGTTATTTGAAATACCATTAGTAGATCTTCTAACCTTGACATTTATTGTTATCATTGTTTAATCCTTACATTGATTTTTCATCTCAAAGTTCTCATTAATTTCTTCTTTTTTTTCTTCTATTATTATTATTCTTGTTATTGTTGTTGTTGTTGTCGTCGTCGTCTTGTTCTTATTTATAATTTCTATAATTAATCTCCCTGTAGTTTGATCCCGGTCTTGACGTATTATTTATTACTTTGACACTCCTGTACTTGAGAGAAGACATCAATATTTTGCTCGTGTCACAAACCTCAATGTCAGCCTTAAATTTCAACACCTTTTTTATTTTGGTCCTTGGTCATATATTTATGCAAACTGATCATCAGACTTTCAATTCTCTTCAATTTTGTCCTTGATTTGAATCAATTGGTTCCTAAAAATTTAGTATCTTTTTTAAAATGGTTATTGGTTGTGAATTTCTTCAATTTGATCCCTAATCGACCTTAAACTTTTGATTTTATTACAATTTTACCTTTTATTTCAATTAATTAATTTAGTAAAAATTAAATTCGATCTTCTAAAATTTCAATCTTCTCAATTAAGCTCAAATTAGGCTCCCAAACTTAATTTTTTTACCATCTAACCTCTTAATAAAATTAATTTGACCTATTTAAAGTATAATTAAGTATTGTACCTAATTAAATCATGTAATTGGACTCAAATTAATTTTTAAACATAATTAAATCTTAAATTTGATCCATGATTAAATTAAATTGGCCTATTAAAAATTTAATTATGTTATTGGACTTAATTTTTATGCAAATTTGTCCAATGATCATTTAATTTGACATTGAATCTGTATTATCTCTCTAGTTTTGAGTATAATATGGTATAATTATATTTTTGATTCCATTAAAAATTGCATCTTGATTTTTTTATATATGAATCCTTCCGCAGTTATTTTTTAAAAAAATATCAGTTTTTCTATTATTATTATTATTTATTTATTATTTTTTATAAGAAAGACAAAACACAAAAATAAAAATAAATGATGACAACAAAGATCTCTACTCCAGTTTCTCGAAGTCTATCCCTTGACCATATCATCATAGCATCTCTCTTTTTTCTAGTCTATATAATGTTAGAGGGAGTCGCTTATCCTAACAATTGATGGTGTTGGAACCAACCTTTTCTAGTGCTGGTATCGAGAACCAAAACCAACCAACCTTTTCTAGAAAAGCTTATAGAGTGGCAACCATTGTAGTCTTAACAAACGAAGAGACTATTGCTTAGAACATGAAGCTTTAGGTGCCAGTCTCCTTTTACATGTAGCTGGCTAACCGAACACTAAAAGCACCCATATTTCTTTCCATCTCTTCCAAAGAAACCTCCGCCTCTGTCTTTTCAGTCTTTTCCTCTTCCTTCTCCTCTTCTTTGGTGGTATTCGTGGAAGGGTGATGAAATCTCCTAATTCAATTGAGATAACCAAGGCCACCTGCCATTATCAGTAAAATAAAATATCAATATTGAGTTCAATGATAGAAAGCGCTCCCTACGGAATATTATCCCTTCGCCGGAAGCACGACATTGTATTGATTATAGCTCTGATATAATTGATTCCTAAGGTGCCTCTTTCTAACTTAGTTATGATATTCTTTAACCAGTTAGTTTTTAAATTTATTTTAAAAAAAATTATTATTAATTTAAATTTTATGAATTTTAGAATTATTAAAAATTTACATGATTATTTATTTTAAAATTTATAAAATTAATTAAAATATATACAAATTAATATAAATATTCATATTATTAATAATAAAAAACATATCACTTCATGTTCACGAGGGAAGGCACAACATTGTACTTTCCTCTAGGAACTCTTCAAGACACATGACTTCGCCACTCTCTACAAGACCAGACAGCAAGATGGGATCAATGTTTATAACTACGATTCATTTTCCTCTTCTTTTTTTTTAATAAAATCTAATTTTTAACCTCTCTCAAAAACTTTGTTGTAAATTTTATTTTATCTAATTTATTTATTATTATTGTATTTATTATTTATATTATTAATTTAACTAATAATCGAGTCTCAATTTTTTTTATATGTTTTTATATATAAGATAAAAAATTTAGAACCTGTTTGGAAGTGTGATTGTTGTTATTTTTTAAATAATTTTTCATATTAAAATACATGTCAATAATATTTTTTTATTTTTTAAAAATTATTTTTAATATCAGCATATCAAAATAATTTAAAAATAAAAAAAATTTAAATTTTTTCAAAAAAAAATTTTAAAACACAAAAACAGCTGGCCACGGCGAAGCTTCAGACACAAATTTAGTTTAACACTGTTTCATTTGCCTCCATGGCTTTACATTATTATTATTATTATTATTTAACGAAATACACCCATGAAAGGGAAAAAAAATGAATAGAATCTGAATCATGTGTGTGAAAACTAGATGGACAAAAGAAATAATAATATTATTACCAGATATAGATGCTTTCCCAATTCAAGCAAACATATATGCTCCAAGTGCTCGAATTGAAGGAGATCTTCTTAACAAATGATTGCTTTGCCATTTACGCCTTACCAACAACGTTTGATTGTAGTTACTTCCAAAGCTGCACTCACATTCTCTCTGCAACTCATACAGCTACACAGGCAAGTCCAAGAAGATCTCGAACTTTTCTGGTTCTTAGAAGAGACCCATTTGTTTTTGGCCAATTGGGTGTCCTTCTTTTGGTTGTTCTGGATTGATTCTTGCAAGAACTGAATCTTGGTTTTCCAGTTCAGGTAAGCCAAGTGGTTCTTTTATACCCATTTTCTTGGATCTTCTTTTAAATTTAGATGTTTGAAATTGCGTTTTGTTTTTATTGCTTTTTAATAGCCAGCCTTTGGTTGTTTGGATTCAGTTCATTGATTTCTGTTAAAAATTTCAAGCGTATACAATTTTAGTTACTTATCTTTTTAATGGATTCTCTTGGTTGCCAAACAAATCGTTGCCATTAAAGTTTGTTTTAAAGTGACTTCTTTTGATCTGTAAATTAAAGCATGCTTCTTGGTTTTCTTTGTAGGCTTTGATTTTGTTACCACGATTGTTTAATAGCCGAAAATCCCCGAAGATTCTGGCTGGAAAAGTAGCTCAAGTTTGATTCTCGTAGATGATTAGAATTGGCTTTTTTTTTTTTAATGGATGAAAAAGGCTGCTGATTATCTAGGAAATGAGTCGATCACCGTCATTTGCTGTTAAACAGGAGCTTAGTCTAAAGACTGATTTGGAATCTTTGCAGCAATGGGTTGTTGCCTTTTGCATTATTAGATTTGATCTTGAACAAGGCCAGCTTATTGAAGAGTGTTATCCACCTGGTTCACTTTCGAATGAAGAGGAACTTGATGTTGCTTTTAGTTCATTTCCGGATTCTGTTTCCCAGAACCAGAACCGTTCAAGCATTCATGATTGCATATTCTTTTTCCGCATCCAAAGGCGGAAGAGTTCTGAACAAAGAAATGTGAATTCATCAGAGACAGTAGAAATTGATGATAAAGAAGTATCTTCAAATTCCATGAAAGAGAAGGTGATTAATAGAAGAAAAATTAGAAATGATACCAAACAATTGAAATACTTGTATGGCTATGTATTTAACAGGCAACGGCATGATGAGAAGCTAAGAAGAGGCGGAGAACAAAAATCTGTGGTGATATTATCACACAATCCTTACTCCAGTGTGTTTAGGCCTTTGTTACAAATCATGGGTCCTTTATATTTTGATATAGGAAAGAAAGCTCTTGAGCATATTGCTGCTTATGTTTCAATGTGGCCTGCTCCTGCACCTGGTAAACACATGGAACTTCGAATTGGGAATGCCTTGCTTAAAGTTAGCTTGCCACCTGCTCATAGTCTGTCTTTTGAAATTGGGATGTTTGAAGAATCTGCTTCTGGCATGGCACCTTTTCTTCCAAATAATCAGTCAATTCCACAGGGTCTGTTTCATGATTCAGATATATTTGGTACATTCCGGAGCATTTTGTTGCAGCTCTGGTTGTTATGGGAACTGTTACTTATTGGTGAACCCGTTCTAATCATAGGACCAACACCTCCCCAGTGTTGTGAGGCAGTTGCTAGTCTAGTCAGTTTGGTTGCTCCATTGCCATGCAGTATTGATTTTAGGCCATACTTCACTATCCATGATCCTGATTTTAAGCATTTAAATTCACTTCGAGAAGGAGACACTTTCCCTCCTATGATTTTGGGTGTGACGAATCTATTTTTCCTTAAAGCTCTTCGTAATATTCCCCACATTGTTTCAGTTGGCAGCCCTGCTCTTAATTCAAATCAGGTTCCCTTTGCAAGTAGGTCTGCTGGCAGGATTCATGGAAGACTAGAAGGATTTGGTCTTCAGCAGCTTTCCTTGAAGAAGTTTTTTCCTTCAAGTTTGTTGAGTGCTGTTAAGTTAAGGAGAGATGGTCCTCTTTGCCTCATGACAGAACATAAGGAAGCTGTTTGGAGCACCTATGTCGCAACAACTAAGCCTGACACCTCTATCTTGAATAGGCTTATTGATGCTGGGATGTTACCAAGGGTTGAGGAGTCAATGTCAGTTGTTAACAATGAAATATTGCGCCGTCATTTCTTAGAGCTCACCACCAACTTTTTGGCTCCTTTTGGCCCTTATTTTAGGGCCACAACTCCTTCTGAAGGATCTCTTCCATTCATGGACCCTCCCCCTCTTCCTCCATTTGATGCTGATGAATTTTTGGCAAACTTATCAGCAAGAGGTGTGGGGAAGTTTCTGTCGAAGCGGATGAAGTCTAACTGGCTGGATTTATACAAGTAATAATTGTTAAGCTGCTATTAATATTATTTATGACTTTCTTTTTTCAGTTTGTTTTGTTGCTTCTGAGTCCTTCATTCAAATCTGGTCATGTTTTCAATGCTTGTTTCTGACATGAGGATGGGTTACGTTGCTGTTCAGGAGGTTCCTGAAAGGGCCAAACTTCATGCCATGGTTTCAAAGAAGGCTCGCAGTTGCTGAACAAGAACAACATAGACTCTGGAGGCAGGCAAGAATGAAAGCTGACATAAAGCTGCTCATATCGAAAATGCCAGAATTGGAAATTGTTGATTATTTCAATGCTATTGAAAGACATCTCCAGGGAGAAATTCAGGTAAATTATTCTGTTTCTTCTCTTGTTATCTTTATTTCCTAGGGCAATATGTCCAGACTGTATGCCTTTGTCCTTTTGAATCTGTCACAATTTTGTAATAACACATTCTATGCCTGCAAGCATCTAAGCTTTGGTTTCGTAGTTTACAAATAAGAACAACTATACAAAAATAGGAGTTACGTGACCTTTGGTCAACATCTATTGGGAAAAAAACATGAGACTTTTTTTTTTTTTAATTGGAGTTAAATATGCACTCATCTTTGGAAAGAAGTAAAATAACTGTAATACACACACATAGATGTAGAAAAAGAACTGAAATACATACATGCATGCAACTACAGCTGCAGAAACAGCACATGCATGCATTCAAGCACGCATGTTACACATCCCATGCAGCTGCAGAAACAGCACACACTTGCATTTGAACACACATGTCACATATATGCATGCAGCTGCTGAACTCAGCATGACATTTTAGGGAAAAATGCTACAAATGTACACACAACCAGCAGAAGTCTTGCTTTTGAGGTGAATCTCAGGATAGTTTAATCCCTTCCCCCAGGCTTTGCTGGTTTTCCATTGTAGAGGGGTATGGAATCCTTTGTGGAAGGATTTCATTGCGTAGGTAGTTTAGACCTGTATACCTCTTTATGCTCAACTATAATGTGGTGAGTTTCAGAATTAAATATATTCGAAGATCTACACATTATGTCACAAGTCTCTCCAGAAGAAGAAATAACAGAAAGAAATGGGAATTAGGGCAAGATTGATTTGTAAGATGTGACCATTGCAATTCTGTAGCTGCTGGATGAAACGCAGTCTCTACTTAAATGTTTTTGTTCTTTTAACTATGTTACGAGGCATGCCAAGATGTTTGCCATCATGAAAATTAGATACTAGCATTTGGAAGTAATTACCACTTTGATGATACAACTTAACATGGCAATTTGAAAACCTAGTTTCCATTTTACTGTGGGTAAATGTCTCTGTAACACGTGCATAAATCGTGTGAGTTCTAGATTGTGAGAGAAAGAAGAAATTATGTCTTGCTTTAAAGGCTGCTATGCGGTATAATTAGTGATGCTGTCAGAGGCTTTTTTCCTGGCAAAGCTTCTTTCCAGTAAATTTTTCACAGCTTGTTTTGCAGGCCTCTTTGAGCAGGGTAAACCAATGATTGGAATTTCTATTTTCAGGACAAACAAATATTTATTCACACTGCTGCTCTTTAGTGAACTCTGATCTCATATTTATATGTATATACACATTCCATGTTCTAATTTGCCATGTTTCTGTCACGTTCAAAATAAAAATAGAAAATCCTCTATCTTTGTTCATGTGTTAGGTTATAGCAGAGAAATATTTTTGATTTTTCATTATGCAATCATCAGATGGAGAAGTTAGGAAGGGCTGCTGTTGACTTTACAGAAACTTGCCAGAAATTGAAGAAAGATCTGCAGGCAGTGTTCGATGTCCTTCCTAAAGACATGCAGCAGCTTTTGCTTATGAACCCTGAAAGAGCAGCTCTTTTACAACCAAGTTCGGAGCCAACAAAACTTCCTGGCCGCCCATCCTTACAAATTGGAGTTGTATCTTCCACATCATCCAGATAAATTGCAAAGCATGGATCAGGATTTAGGGCTTTGTTATATGTTGTCTTCTCAGGCTGCTGAAGACCTGCACAGCATGTAAATATGTTGTAGTGTCCTTGAGTCACTGGATTGGGGGTATTTTCTCCCACCTAGGACATATTTCTTCTTCTTGGTGAGAATACTACATCCTCAATATATTTCTGACTTATTACAGTAATCTGATTTACTTATCATTTCCCTTCTTTTGAATTTTGTTCCAGATGTGTGTCACAGCTGTCGTTTCCTCCCCATTTTAACTCAATTCTTTTGCAATCCTACATGTTTGATTGTTCAAACCTACGGGGGAGATCAGTCCTTGAAGTGTATATTTCTTGAAGCTAAGCGGTGGTTGGTTATACGTTAATATAAATATATTTAATTTATTAATAAAAATTTATTTATTTTTAATATTTATTAAATATTTTATTAATAAATTTTGATGCAAATTTTTTGATCACACCATTATATAATTTTTAAAGTAGATAATAATTCAAAAAGTGGAAAATCCAGTTTGACATACTCTCAATCTAGAGATAACTATGCATTTAAAAATCAAAGGTATTGAAAAAACATTTTGATCAAAAATAACTTTGTATCTAAGAATTCTGAGTATATTAATAACTTATGAAATTAATTAATTTTTAATAAGTTAATATATGATTTTTGTTTATAAAAAAAAAAGTTGTTTTGCAACAAATAAAAAAAAAGGTCATATTATTCTTCAACTTGCTACCCAAACTTACAAGTAAGAAAAAATAAGAAAAAACATAATATAGTCCTATCTAATTAACTTTAATGGATTCATTATAGATTGTAAGCTAATAAATTTAAATTAATAATAAACTAATATATATTTAATAATGAAATAAACTTTTAAATAATATCTAATGACCCAAAACAAACTTAAATTAAAAATCACTATTCAACGTTAAATAAATAAATAAATTAGGAAAATAAAAACAAAGAACGGACTCTCCAACACTATAACCAATAATGTACAGCCGGTCTATAGTATCTCAACTATTGGGAGCTCTTAATCAGTATTGAGCACTCACTCTGAGAAAATCATGGTCTTGAAACAACACGTAGCTGATCTCATCCAGTAATATAAGCAACTATCGGTAGATTACAAACAATTATGTCAAATTGTCATAGATATAAAATCATAGATGAATGGTATTTGTGTGCCTTTTTTGTTATATGGTCCCTAGAGTGACCAGTCTCTTCCTCCCCCTCCTCCTCATATGTTTCCACAATTATTCTAGTTTAATTTTTTTTTTTGAAACAGTATAAAATTGTAATGAATATTTTATACAATTTTATTTGCTTAATTGGTTTTTTTACTACTATTCTATACAATTTTATATTATTTATTCTACACAATTTTATTTTTTAAAATATCACCGACATATTTAAAGATAAAATTATGTCATCAGTATTTTACAGAGAACTGCAAAATATTTAATGCATATGCCACAATCACTAACATTTTATAGACGGAATAAATTTATTGATATTTCACATAGAGTTATAAAATATTTATTGTATATGCCACAATCACTAATATTGTTATTTCATCAGTGATTTTATCAATGAAACAATAGATGAAATAAATTCTTCAATATATTTCTAGCAAGAATGTTTTTTTTTCCACATATTTTCCGTTTGTAAAACCATGAGTTTTTTTTTTTGGTTATCAACAGAGTTAGCAACAAAACATGAAATCACCGATGAACGGTATTTCGACGGACTTATTTCTTTTGTGATTTAGTCTATAAAATTTTTACAGATAGAATGGCAAGCTTATACCGATAGATAATATATGTTGATAAAACTGTTAAATATTATAGTGATAAATTTTAAAAAAATATTACAAATACTAAAATAAAAAAGTAAAATAAAAGACATGTATATGTATATATATAACAATGATGAAATTGGAGTGTTTTAATCAAAAATAGGTATCTTGGTCCAGAATTTATGTTTTTGTTATAATAAGTATTCTAGGTAAGCTTGCATCTACCAAATTAAATTTTTATACCCCAAACAAGACTTGTGAAATACAATTTACACTTTTGCCCATCAGTATTATTAGTGTGCAGAGGAATTTGAACTGGAAACAACAGAAAGAACATATTCTTGGCCCCTAGCTCATAACTAAGTCACTTATTTATAGTTAAAATTCTTATTCCCTTTTGTATTAAAAAAAAAAATTGATCCCATGTTTTGCCAATCCCTTGCTCATGAAAATTTATCCGGGAAGCATTTAATGTGTCGACGTGTTCACAACATCTAAAACAATTCAAGGTCTCCACATTGATCATATATTTGTAGTTGTCATTTGCACGTTATTTCATATAAAAAAACTATGTATAATTTAAAACGAGAAACAAATAAATGCAAACAAAAGAACCCTGGTTTCGGTCCAACAGTTGATACCAGAAGATCAGAAGCAGTTCAGTGAAGTCATGACGGTTCTATGGGGGGGGAAAGGAAATGGAATAGAATTCTTGATTAGTAGCAGGGAAATTAGGGCTCATTTTTTATCGATGAAAGAATCAGACAGATAATGCAGGGTTAGGGAATAGATTGCCAGGAGAGGTGGTGATGATCAATCTCATTTTGTCGGGTTCAATTTTGCTTATATATATATATATATATATATATATATGAATGATTCGTTCAATAAAGGGACACTTCTTTGGGGATTTTTTTCTCTCACTATTTTGGATAAAAAGGGTTACAGAAATTTGAGTCTGACAGTATAAAGATCACGATTTTTTATTTTTTTTATTTTTAACAAAGAAGAATAATTATCGCAAGATCTCAGCAGGAGAATTAAGATCTCTGGAATAATATCAACCTACCTGGTTTTTTTTTTTTTTTTTAATCTGCATGCAATCTTTGAGCCAGTTTAGCATCTGAGAGTAAAAGCGAGGTACAAAAAGGCACATTTGCCTGTAACCGGACAAATATCTAACGATACATGTGGATCATGCATATATGAAATGACCAATTGGGTGCCACTCATGACCGCACCAAGTCACCAGCTAATCTTTGGCAGTGACACGGTGAATGTGCATAATCATCCATGCAAATCAATTCATGAGATTTGAATTTTGAATAAACTGATAAAAAACAAACAAATAAAATCAAACTCTAATTCTAAAGAAATCAAACTAAGATTGATGAAATTACCGAAAAAAACAACTAGTAAAACTAGAAAGTCAATCAAACTCTATAACCCAGATCATCCAAATGAGATAATTCAATAAAAGATAAACTAAAAAAAATTATAAAATTTAATTTTGAAATAACCAAATGTTGAAGGACACGACAGATATAAAATTAACAAAAAAAATGAATTAACCAAGGCTTACTCATTCAAACACTTGGGAGCGGAATAAACAAATTGAAAGGAAGGAAATAGAAGAAAATAATGAAACCCAATACCAAAAAACTCCAACCTTGAAAGATAAAATTAAAAAAAAAAATTAATTTTTAATCAATCTAATATTATAGGATGAAATAAATAAAATTTTATACCCAAACTTAATAAAACAAAATTCAATTCTCAACCAATTTAATATCAAAGGATGAAATAAAAAATTAATATAAAAAATTATCAAAGTAAAAATAAATAGTAATAAGAAGAATGAAAATTAAATTTGATAGGAAAGAAAAAACTTAAGGAAGATGAAATTGTAAAAAAAATCAATTTTAAAAACTATCATAAATAAAACAAATAGAAATAAAAAAATGGATCAAATTTTAAAAATGAAAAACATGAAGGGGGATGAAATTAAAAAGATTTAATTTTATAAATTATTTCAAATAAAATAAATATTAATAAAAAAATAAAAATCAAATATGAAAGAATAAAAAATTAAAAGGTTGCTTTGAAGTTTTGAAGAGCCAAGTATAGAAATGAAAAAGAAAGAAAAAGAAAAAGAAAAAGGTCATCAATGTCAAACTAAAAAGATCTTGACAACACACATCACCTCATCATGGATGATAAACACCGTCATGAAAAAGAAAGTTTGGTCATCGAACAGCTCCGCACACACCACTCATTTGTTGACGTGTGCACTACACTCATCAATAAGTTTTTTATTAATATTTAATATTTCAAAAATACACATGGATCAACCTAATATTAATAAAAAAAAAAAACTATGATGAATAAAAGAAGCCCATAGAAGATAGTTTAGTGTCTAGTTTTCCTTTAAAGGTAATTAAATAATTTTATTATGCTAAAAAACTAAAAAGACTAAAAGGTTATTGGGTGACAATTTTTTTTTATTTATTTTAAAGGTGGCCAAGTAATTTTATTTTGCAAAAAACAAGAAGCTAAAAGACTATTCTTTCCTTGTACAATTTGAAAATAACAACTGAATCATAGTGAAATATTATATTGCCATCAACGCCTAATTCAAATATTTTATGATTAAAGAAAAAATTCTTCATTCCACTGTTATAATGAATAGTATTATGGAAATAGGTCCACAATAATTTTCTTAAGAAATTCATTTTTTTTTAATAAAACCATTCATTCTCGTTACATCACTGTGAGTCAGATTAATTTTTTTAATATAAAAATAAATTATAAAATTAAATTTTAAGTAAATTTAATATTAAAAAAAAATTAAAAAAAAACTACAATAAATAAAAACAAATTGTGAATAGATGAATAGTGATTCACCTCTTAATAATAATTTTTCTCAAGATAGACTTTTTGTTGACCGCCTAACTAGTGGTAAAGCTAATAAATAATTAACATACCTTGAAATTATTTAAGCAGGACTTGTGAATGTTCACATGTCCCAAAAGGACGTAAAGTAGAAGTACCAATCTATCCGTATACTATGCCTTTGTTAGGCGAGAGCATAACTCGTGTTATGTAAAAGTATCTCTCTCTCAAATTAGTTTCTTAACGAAACCAAAAACAATTCTTACCATGTCTATAAAAGGTAAAATATCAACATGCATGAGATATTAAATTGGTGTGCAACATTGTATAACATCCACTCAGAAGTTACGCGCTGGTCACAAACCAGGACCAAATAGGCACTTTCAGCTTTTTCCTCTTATTTTTAGTAAATTTTCTCATTGTTCATTACCAACTCTGAGTCAATTGTAGGGTATAAATGAGAGAACATCAGAAAGCATGGGTGTCCAAAAGTGAGTGGTTTTCATTTGGCCACAAAGAGTTGAGCAAAGATTCTACACTTCACGCGCGATAGAAAAGTGCTAGCTGCATGGTACCGACAAGATCACGGGTGCATGTGATGTTCACGTGACAGACATGGTCTCTGTCCGTGACATGGACAACCTAGTTTCGGTTATCTTGTGGAACCACATTCTTTTATTTCTTATACCGTAACCTCTGCTCATGTCTGGGTTTCTTTACAATCACTGGACCTTCCAATCGCTTTCACTTTTATGTTAGAACAGACCTTTCAGCTTTTTACACTCTTTAACTAATCGAACTGTGTTGCTAGGAGTAAAGAAAGATATTGGTCTTTACGCTACAGAATCTAACAGTTTAATTGAGGCTAAAATGATCAAATTACCAATCTATTGCACTGAACGTCCACTGTTCCAAATAATTCTTCTTAATTAATTGGTAGTTTGCATAGAAGAGTCTGAGAAGTCTTGCTACCAAATAAGCTTCCTATTTGTTCCCGAGAGATCAGCATGTAAGGGAAAACAAGACTTATTGTTTCGAGCCTTCTTATATTATAACGATCAGCAGGTTCAGTATACCTATTTATATCTTCTAGGTGGCTCAAGTAATGAAGCCAGTTACAGTAGAAGAGGCCTAGGGTAAGTCCTTTCCTTGAATATCAACTTTATATTACAAATCCAGAACTGCGCAAATCAACTTCTGTGTGTACCTGAATTTGTTCTCTATCGGTAAAGTAAGCACCCAAACTGTAACCAAGTCGGACCCCCTACCTGAAAGTGACCAAACAAAGATGCTGTTGGTGTGAATGTACGAAAACTTCCAGTGAGGACCGAGACGGACCCCTACCCAGAAGTGACAATTAAAAAAGAAAGTTCATAGTATAAAAACTATATCTGCAACAACCCTTGTAAATCAAAAATTTGACTAGGCTTCTCTTCACATGTGACAAAATGCTAACTGTCTACAAATTCTGTATCACTGCAAAAGCTTGTTAATTTGATAGCTCCTCTCCCCCGGAGGTTCTAACCAGCAAACAAAGTTTGAGCAGAAACAGTCCAACTTTATTTAATGAAGCACAGTACAGCATTATCAAGCCTTTGGTCACAGTTTATAAGGCTACTTTTATCAATTAGCTCAGAAAATGTGTGTAGCATTACCCGATGTATCATGGTGCAGCCCTGGTACATCTTGCAAGGCAGTCCATTCTGAGTAAAAAACACACTGGATGATAACCATGCCTCTGGTTATCAGACAACCATTTTTGCGCTCACAAAAGTTCTGAAAATCAGCATTCAAGGTGAGGATCATGGTGCATTATTTCAAAATCGCAACATAATTCACAAAAATGGATGTTATTAAGGGATTGAATGATAACAACTATCGATCTTTGTAGGATGCACCTGCCATGATTTATTAAATACACAGAACAGCACAAGTACAATAACTCACCTGATACTAGCTCTCAGGCCTCTGAACTTTTTTAAAAGCTATGAAGTTGGAACTATTCTCATAAATTAGGTCAACATGCCTTTTTCTACCAGAGTTCTTCCTAATACTTTATATATTCACTTTTCTTTTCTTTTTTGCTTAGATATATATTATGGACTTTGCTTTCTGGTAGCACGCTACTAAGATCGAAAGAAAATTACTTGATATTGTTTTTGGAGAAAAATGGTAGAATAACAGCATCACACCATGATCTTTCTAACTGTAGTTTATTGGGACAACGAGACACAAGAACATTGCGAATATCTTTTTAATTTTGTAAAAGCAGTAAGGATGTTATGAGTTTTCATATGATTTTTGTGATAAAATACACGTTGACAGAAAATTGATTGAAACCAAAGAGGTTGATCTTGAACATTCTCTTATTTTTTATTTTATTTTTTCATTTTCAATTGTTATCTTACCCTAGATTGCAAAGCAGTGTAGATTAAATTGCTATAATCATGTCTTCATGTTATTAATATGGTTAAAATGAATTTGAATACTTTATCAGAGAAAATTGCCTGAAATGAATCGCAATACAAGGTGTGACTGTAAAGTACAAAAGCTAGATGATCAATTCAGAGAATTCAAGAAAATTTTTATTACACAGTACAAGTACAAGATGCCTTCTTGCTAATGCCCAAAATCACATGGATATGCAAATATGATTTCAGTTCATCAAAAAATATCATTGCAGTTTTACCTTGACATACCATGTTGCATTTCTCTGAACTTTTAAATTTACTTCTCCATCATTAGCAGAAAGGTAAATAAAAATTACTAAAATTTTCAGATTATATTTTCCCTAAGATCAAACACAGCCATATAATAGAAAAGACAAAAACTACAAAGTAGTTAAGTAAACTTACTGTCGATGACTAACAATTATAGTGATTGATACTTGAATGCAACATGCTCTTCATAACATCAATATCCTTGAGCAGTTTCTCATTCTCCTGATTCCTTCTCTGTGTCTCAACATCTAAAGCTGCAATAACAACTCGCAGCAAATCACTAAAATAACTCAAGAATGATCCACTGGATTTGAAGTTAAGCTAATTATTTTCAATTCCTATAACTACTCCTCAATAAATGGCGTAAGAAATATAAGAAGACAAAAAAAAAAAGGAAAAAGAAATCCACCATCACAACTTCAAGAACACACATCAAGCAGCAAAACCAAAAAACGAGGAACTGCTCAAAATTTTACTGAATGATTAAGAAAATGAAAAAAAGATTAATCTAAAGACAATCTCACAGCGCACCCATAGGGAGACATGACGTTCACAAACAGCAACATTGTTTGTATTCTGCATATTTTTAAATGCAGAGCTGGAGGTTGGCATGTTACAAGGACATGATCAGTACACCATTACACATGCATATGTTACGAAGCTAAGCCTCATTAAATGATGATGCTGTACAACATTGTGATATCTTCTCTCTCACTATTCAAGAACCATTTTCGGACAGAAGTTGAATAACACTTGTCAATTTTCACTGAGAAAATGTTAAAAGGTAATTCCAAGTCCATACAAACTTAATTCAAATATCAGACTAATGGAGCTCCCAAAATATCCTAAGCATATGATCTCGTTTTTCTAAAACCATTGGGAGATATTTGATCGAAATTCAAAAACAGTAGGAAGGAAAGCCTGTGCGAGAAGCACAAACTCCTAAAAAGAAAGAAAGAATGGTCAATACTAGCACTCTAATACTCCACTTCCTCTCCCCGGCATGGTGGCAGCAAGACAGATCTAATCCAAACTCTTCCACAACAGTCAATGACAGAAGCTAAATACTGCTTGAGTCTTTTTTCCATTTTCATGATTAAATATGCAGTAGGCACAAAAGCAGCCACAAACACAGGCACTTCCCTAAAAGGTCCCAATATGAAGAAACAAGGTCCACAGTCTACCCCTGAAAGAGATATCAAATACATGGGAAAAGGAATCGTAGTCTCATAAAACTTGAGAGAGAAAAGGGAATCTATTTGTAATTCACCATTTGGTTTTATCTTGGCAACTTGGGGATTTTTTTTTAGTGGATCTCAAATGATATGTTCAATGAAGGCAAGACTTATATTGTTTCAGGGCTTCAATCCCTAGGTTGGGGTAAACTCATTTTTGAAATTCAGATTTGGCATTTTTTTTTTTCTAAATTTTGAGTCATATGTAGATTTTGGCATTGTAAGGCAACTTAGAACTGCAAGAAGTTTCTAAGAGAGGCATTATGATTTATGAGTTTCTACCATCAAACTACAAGATAATCAACCCAAACAAGAGTTGTGAAATTCCTTGTTCTTCAACCTGTTATAAAAAGATTGCAATGATATGGGCCTAGTGTTGTCAAAGATGAAAGAAGCTAAAAAGCACCAAGCCTGGAAAATGCCCTAGACGCTTTGTCCAAATGAACTATGATGCTCAACCTGTATGATTTAAAAAATTACATGTATAATATTATATTATGATATATAAATCTAAAATATATACCAATTATGATTAAATCATTAGAAAATCAAAAGAAAATATAAAATACCATAATATAGTCATATAAAGTTACATTTTTCACCTTTAAAACAACATAAAATAATTTAAAGAATTTTTATATGATATAACTTAGTAGAGTTTTTATATGAGAAATTAAGAAACAAAAAAGATGAGATGACAGAAAAAAAAAAAAGTTGAAGAAATACCTTTGTTGTTCTTAGTCTTCACTATTCACTCTTCACTCTTATGTTTTTAACAAAACTACCCTTAATTTCTTTCTTGTATAAGACTAGATGTAAACAAGACAAAACATAAGGTTTTTTTTATAAAAAAAACAGAAATTGAAGAGACACCTCTTCAAACTAATCTTCAGTGTCAGTGTCAGATAATTTTCATCAAGCAACGCCTTTATCGCCTGCCTCCCATGCACGGGCACTTGCTTAGGCAATGCCTCTTCAAACTCCATCGCCTTAGGCTAAGAAAGGCATCTCACCTCCAGCACTTAAGCGAGCACCTGGGCGCCTTGTGACAACATTGTATGGGCCCTTCTAATGAGTTTCATAGCAGTACCAGAAAGGCATCATTTTGTTGGTAGTTGGCATAGGGCATGGGGTATATTTTTCAGAACGAGCCAAGTACCTTGGTCAAAAGGTTCACATTAAAGGCCTGTACAAATGGAGAGCAGGCTGCTCACACGCAAAGATCAATTTATAGGTCCCTATCTAATCCAACCAAAGATTACTAGACACTTGTGCGAATGGAAAACGTATGTTCAGTCGACAAATAAATAAATAGAGCATCAACAATAAAACTCAAGGCTAGAGGACGTTACAGATACTACAACAATGATGAAAAAAAAATTAAAACTGAAGTCAAAATATCCAAAGTTGAGTTCTCGTCATGTTAAAGCCTTCAATAGATAAGGGAAGAAAATAACCAATGAGTTTCTCATCACAGGTTTCGGTCCAAGTGCAGTAATGGAAGTTGAAGAACTATTAGATCAACTCCTGTATTCATCTAAAAGATATTCTCACACTGGAGCTTGATACTAGAATTTAAGTTTGCATTATTTATATTATTTAACTATTTATCTAAAAACTACCCATACATGTACTCCAAGAATGATCTTGGTGTAAATCATCTATGCAATAAATCTCTTAATAAAGAGCTCATTAAATAACAAAACAAAAAATGGTCTAACAGATTAGCTTAAAAACATGCAACTGCAAATTATGCAAGTGTATAATGTTGGCATACCATATCAAATAAGTAATCTATTGATAAAGTAGCATAAACTATAAATAGAAACGGATGTTGAGTAACCATTGATGCAAGGAAAGAAGATAAGCAACTTAAGCACAACAAAAACAAGATTTTAATGAAACAATGATTTCAACCAGAAGAAGCAAAAGGCACGGGCAAGTTGAAAATGTACCGGAGTTGCAATCAAGAAGATCTTGAACAATTTCATCCATGAAAGCCAACATCAAATTCTTTAAAGCATTATTTTTCTCATCCAAGAGATGGATTTCATTTTCAAGAAACTCCTTTTCTGACAACAAATTCACCACTTCATTTTCACCTTTGTCGATATCCCTTTGAAATTCTAGACATTGCATGACAAACTGTTCTCTGTGGAGAATCAATCAACATTTAGTAATGTTAAATATTAAATGAGGATAAATAATATCTACCAAAACAGGAGCAATCATATCTTGCAGAAGTAGGCAAAAGTCATGAGAAACTTTATTCCAAGTTATGATTCTACAAATTTGAAAAAAAAAAAAAAAAGTGGCAATATCCAAATAACCAAACAAGAATTTTTTCATACTCATATGGTAATTCTTTTTGGAGAAAGTGAAAGCACCTCATACAAGATATAAACTCCATGACTTAAAAATATAGGATAAAATAAATGCTGAACTACTGCAAGTGAATTGTTATGGCCTAGAGAAATTCAATCTTTCCAGAGCAATCATTCCATCCTATTCTGATCCAATCCTGCAATCAAGAGTTTTCTCAGGTGTTTTGGGTGGTATCAGATGGTGATGGGTCTTCAATGAAATTCTAGCTAGATAGCTAGTTAGATGATAAACCTTTGTGTTACTTATTCACATAATTTTTCAACAATATGAGGATAGAAATGAAACTGTTTCAAACATGAGATATTGTTACGGAACAACTTGACACTGGAATATTTCTTTATGTCCTCATGAACCTGACAGAATAATATAAAGATACACGATACATGGAGGATGCAAGGTGAACTCATGCTGCAGAATAAAAAATGATGTTCTATTTTCTAACAATGCTCCATCATTCACTAGTGTTTGGATGTCTATTGCCCCACCTAAATGGCTGGCATCTATAAACAAGCTAAGCACCGTAGAGCAGCTGTTTCGCACGAGCATCATAAGGAACTGCTTTCCCCTCTTTGCAACATCTTTGAAGAAACAACAGTACATCTTCTTTTACACGGCAGCAAAGTTTGGGAAATTTGGAGCCCCTAGCTCAATATTTACTCTGTATGAACATTGGCCTTTAAAGGATAAATGCAGCAAAAGGTTTTGTTTTCTGTGATGTTTTCAGATACTTCAGTCCATCTGGTCAGCAGAAAACAATCAATCTTCAGTAACTCGGTTCTAGATTGGGATGATGTTTTTGGCTTGATTACACTGAGCACTTGGTTGTGATTCATTTGCAAGAAAGTTTAATCTATCAGGTTCTGTTGTCCATGCCTTGTTATTTTTTATATTCACTGATACATTTTTATCACTCATTCGGTTCGATTTGGTTAAGACCATCCCCTTGATGTTGTTTCCGCTTAGCCACTGGTTAATAATAAACACTTTTCTCAATTCTCATTAAAAATAAAAGCCTTAGTGGAACTACATCCGAAAATACGTAACTCCAAGTTCATGAAGAAGATAAAACAAATTACCATTTCATAAATTCTCTAATAAAACAACAATAAGGCATAATTAGTTGATGTGTATATTGAAGACCTGATGGTCTACCAAAAAAAAATTAGATTGAATCCAAATATAATAAATAAATAAATAAATAAAGATTTGAGTGAATACCGTCTGTCGTCCATGCTTTCAAGCATCTCCATCTTCTTTTTTCTTAGACCACAAATCTCCTCCTCTAAGAATTTAACAGACTTCTTCGACTCATCTGCGCATTTTTTGAAAATCATAAAAAAAGATAGAATAAAATTGAAGCAAAACAAAAGAAAAATAATAATAAAATGAATTACAGGCAACAGAGAGTAATCCATTGACTTCAAATTGCGAGAAATAAAGCGTCTTGGTGAGGTCCGATTCTCTGGCAGCCAAATCGGCCTCGAACTCAGTGCATTTGACGATCTCTGACTCGATCTCTCGAGTTATCTGAATGTTAGCTTCAATTTCCTCATTTACCTAATCATTGAATTTTTTATTAAGAAAAAACACCAAATTCTTGTTGTAGTCATAAGAATTAAGAACCCGTCGGCCTAGATAGGGTAATAAAAAAATTGCATCAAAGAGAAGAGAAGACAAATACTTGATCGAGCATATCTTTTAGAGAAGAGATTTGAAAGAGAATCGCTCCTGAATCGTCCATTGCGTTTCGGTTGGGGGCTCAGGTTCTTGCTCTTCTAATTTCCCGCTTTTTCTACTGCATTGTTTTGTGCTTTTAAGTGACTGTTTGTTTGGGTTTTAAAAATATTTAAAAAAAAATTAAATTTTTTTTATTTTTTTTATTTATTTTAAATTAATATGTTTTTAGTATTTTTAATATTTTAATATATTAATAATAAAAAATAATTTTAAAAAAATTATGAACATATATTTTAATATAAAAATTATTTAAAAAATAACTAAAATTATATTATAAAACAAGCACAAATAACTTTCTAGTTATGATGTTGTATAAAGTAATTTTAATTTGAATATATATTAAAATAATATTTTTTATATTTTAAAATTTATTTTTAATATTAATATATTACAATAATTTAAAAATATATATAAAAATAAATTATAATAAAAAACTAAAATTTTATAGAATATCAATGCAATCCAACCTCCAACAAACACTAAATAGAAAAAGATACTTTTAAAAAAAAAAAATTTTGACACCTAAAAATATTGTTATAAAAATAATTAGAAGCATTTTATTATTATTAGTTATTCTCTAAGTTGTTTTCAAAAAATATAAATATAAATAAATGAAAGAAAATATAAATTTGGATATTTTTATTATTTTTAATAGATCATAAATTTTATTTTCTTTGTTGTTTTTGTGGGGTTCTTCTCTTGAAAATATACAACTAATAGAAAACAACTAGTTATATTTGTAGTACTGAGATTAATAAATTAAATTTTAAGTGTATTTTACATTTTAATAACCAACAAAAATAGTTATAATTTTGTTTATTTTTTAATTTTTGATTTGAAATCAAAATATATAGAATAAAATAAATTTACCTCATTTTAAAGTTACATATTTTATATTGGTCATAATTTATTTCTTTACAACATGCCTGGAACTAAGCGTAAAATTCAATTTAATTCATAAATAAATTTAAATTTAATTGATACTCTATAAAAATTTTATATTTAGAATAAAATATGAAACCACATAATTTAATTTAGTTATATTATTTAGAATGCTCATGAAAATTAATTGAATTGATAATTTTAATTATTTTATTTTTAATTTAAAAATCATTTTTTTTGTTGATTATTGTTATATTTATTTGAAATGACATAAAGCATAGACATCATAAAGAAGATATAAGTAAATTTATCTCTTATTAAGTTTTTATTAAATATTTATTGAAAAAAATTCAATATATATATATATATATATATTTGATAAAAAATCGATCAAATTTAATATTTTCATTGAAATGTTGAGAGAAACAAATTCTAAAAACATTCCAATAAAAATTCTAACATTTTACTCAAATCAAACTTAAATAAAATAAATATTAATCCAATGCAAATAACATTATCAAATAGACAAGTCAATGACTAATATAATGTTGATATTATTAATAATTCATAAAAATAAAACAATTCTTAATTTTAATAATTCAAAAAATATCATCAAATAAATCATGCAATAAGAAAAATCAACTACAAAATAATTTTTTTTACAATTGCATAAATAAGTTTATGAGAATTACATAAATATTAGTTATAACTTTACTTCTGAATCGAGCTAGCCTTTCCCATGTCAGCTCGTCAAGCAAAGCTGAGTTAAACAATTCCATCTTCAATTCTTCAAACTACATTCTGTAACAGCCCACAAAATTCAATTGATTTCGATATAATATTTATTCGTAATAAGTAGAAAATAACGGTATTTATTTTTATCACAATCCATCAGTACAATACCTAATGCAGTAATTTTTAATTTTTGTTGTTCTTCAACTGTATATTTCATGATTGTTGATATATAATCATCTTTAAACATTCATGTAGACTATATTCACATAAGATACAAATAGTATTATAGCAAAGAAAAGTGCTTAAACACCATATGCAAAATATAAAGTTCACCAAGACACCATAATTTACATATCTTAAATTTGAATATTAACATTATACAGTTTTAAAAAATAGATCCATTCTTATTATTACATAAATTTTTACAAAATCACACGATTTCACAAGGTCTATTCTTATAATTTTATTTCATTTCAAATCTTTATACAATAATATTTCACATTAGTTTATTTAAACTATATTTAATAAACAACTAATGATATATATTATAATCTAAAAATTATTATACATATAGAATTTTTCACTGCATAAATGATTCATCCCTAACTATTACTAATTTATATAGTTCCTTAAACATAATTTTCTATCGGAGAATAACACATTATAATCTTTTTGTCATCATATCAATAAATGCTTTTAATCAAGGTTATTCATAACACTTATTTTCGGTTGTCCAAGTATGGATCCTATTAACCAGAGTTAATCATATCCTTTACTCATAGTTATTCAACATAAACACCATTAAGCAGTTAATCTTGTCACTTATTATTGGCTATCCAATATAGATATCATTAATTAATACTAATCTTGAACATATTTTTTGATCATTTGACATAGATATCACTAGCCAAAGCTATTCTATAACATCTACTCCTGACCATCCAGCTTGGATGTCATTAGTCAAAGTTAATATTATTTGTCCTGACTATCCAACATCAATATCATGAGCCAAAGCTAATTATTAACATTTATTATTAGCTATCCAATATGGATGCCATTAGCCTAAGTTAATCTTATCACTTATTCTCAACTATCCAACATGGATACTATTAACCAAAGCTAATCTTAATATTCTTTATAATTCATGATTAATCAAATAACAAAATTCAGATAACAATACTTTATAAAAGTACCTCAAGAATTTAACAAAATTAGATGAAGAAGGGAATCACCTACCTATTCCTCTTGTAGTATGTCCTCGCATCTTCAAAGATATGATTTATGTTGCACCTCCGAATACATAGAGAGATTATTATTCAATATATTGTATCTATAAGCATTGTTAAAGATCACTCTGTCATTAAGAAACATCTTCTTCTTCTTCTTCTTCTTCTTCTTCTTCTTCTTTTTATCTTTTTTACATTGTGCTTTTGAAACTATTGATTAGTATTTAAAAATGTATTTTTATCAAGGTTTTATATCATCATTTTGCACTATAAGTATCAATAACTCCTTAATTAAATCATGTTTTATAATAACATATCTAAAAATATAAGATACTTTTGATTTGTGATAAATGTTTATCTTAAATGCAAGTCTATCACATAAATGAAAAGATTGATTGATGAGTTTAAGTATTGAAATTAAAAGGACAAAGAAATGGTTAAACTTAGAAAAGAGATGCTGGTGCAGTCCAAACTGGAACATTGTTCGGTAATTGAGTCATAGCTGTAGATCTCGTATTTAGGTCTATTTTATATGGATGGAAAGGTACAACATAGGCCTACAACTTTCATGTAGATGTCTAGTCTTAATAAGACTATTTTTAAGTCCAAATTGTAGCAATAATGAAGAAGTCTGAATCTATCCTGCAGCCTAAACATTGTTCAGTGTTTAACTCATATCTTGAGTTTTAGAAGTCCAAATGACCTCAATTATTTTTTCCTAGAAAGCTAAGACAATTTTCTATAATTTTATATAGATGTCTAGTTCCAATTCTGACGTTATCAATGATGCTTTACTTAGACAAGAGAAGATAAGGATTGTTACCAAGTCAATAGTTGGTCACTCACTCATCAATTAGTCATCAAATTAATGATTCATAATTTTGGCCTATAAAAGGAGGCATTTGCCATGCATTTAGGCATCTTGGTTTCCAGATCAAGATCATGTTGTTCCTTTCTCTCTTTGTATTTTTTGTAATGTTTATGCTTTGCTTTCATTAATATTAAGTTTATGCTTTTCATTTCCTTTCCTTTACTTAGTTAACTTTTATGTTGTTATTTTGTTTATCTATTTTTCTTTCTTTCGTTATGTCTAGCTAAGTTAATTATGTCAAGGTGAAAAGGTTACACTAATGGTGTAAGAATAAGTATAGTGTAAACTTAACATGGACTTTAATATTTAATACTAACATGTTTTATCAACAACTCCTTAACTAAAGCATGTTTTATAATAACAATTCTAATACCATAAGATACTTTTAATTTATGATAAATATTCATCTTAAATACAGGCCTATCACATAAATGAAAGGATTGATTGATGAGTTTAAGTACTGAAATTGAAAGGACAAAAAGAGGGCCAAACATAGAAAAAAGATATTGGTTCAGTCCAAACTCAAACATTGTTCGGTCATGCGATCATATCTGGAGCTGTAAATTTTGGATTTAAGTCTGCTCTATATGGATGAAAAGCTAAGACATAGGCCTAAAACTTTCACGGGAGTCCAAGATTTAAAAAGATCATTTTCGAGTCCAAATTATAGCAACAACGGAGAAATCTGAATATATCATACAGCTTAGATATTGTTCAGTGTTCAACCCATATCTCAAGTTCTAAAAGTTCAAATGACATTAATTTTTTTTGTGTTAGAAAGCTGAGACAATTTTCTAAAACTTTCATAGGTAATGTTCAAATTCAAATGTTATCAATGATGTTTTATTTATACAAGAAGATAAGGATTGTTACCAAGTTAAGAGTTGGCCACCCATTCATCAATTAATCATCAAATCAATACTTCACAATTTTGGCTTATAAAAGGAGGTATTTTTCATGTATTTAGGCATCTTAGTTTTCAGATCAAGAGCTTGCTCTTGCTTCCTCTCTTTATATTTTATAATGCTTAAGTGTTGCTTTTATTAATCTCTTGTTTATGCTTTTCATCTCATTTCCTTTACTTAGTTAACTTATTTTTTTTTTATTATTATCTTGTTTATTTATATTTAGCTAAGTTTATTATGTAAAGGTAAAATTGTTAGATTAATGGTGTAAGAATAAGTATAGTGTAAACTCAACATGAACCTTAATGTTTGATACTAACAGCTTTTATATTTGTTATCTTGTTCATTTTTAATACTTTGCTTGTTAACTGGTTAATTCAGATTTATGTTGTACAACTCTTGGTACAACAAATACTTGCACTTTTGTGGCCTAAAC